TTTTTATTGAAAAATTTTCCATGCCCGTTATTTATGATTGTGGAAACTGAAAAAAAAAAATACGAGAACTACCATTTTCTAATTTTAACTAGTTATGCGTAGATTTTTCCTGGTCATCGCCAGATATTTCTTCGGCGCCAGCTTTCCAGGGTCGCCCAAGGTGATCCTGGCACAAGATTGCATACTTTGATTCCATCCCATCTCTTTAAGAATAGGTATAATATTTGGCTACTTCTGCAATTGTCGAAGTCATCAGGCCGTAGGTGCCATTGCGATTATCTTTACTTCTGTCGTGCCCTTTAACCTACTTCAGGATAATGTTATTATCTCTCGATGCTTTGGCAAAATATTGGTGGCACTCTAGTACTAGCCCTGAGGTAACACGTTGTCTGTTCAAGGCTAATAGGGCTTGTCTACCATCAGTGCAGATTATTATGTTTTTTCCAGAAATTCCTTTCCTGGTTATTTCTTTTGTGGCGATTGACATACCAGCCAGTTGGTATCCCACATCCCATTCCCCATTCCCCACATCCCACTCCACATCCTGAGCCTTCTTTGATTCTTGAGCCATTTGCATATATGCGTATTGCATTTGTAGCATTTGATTCTGTGTTCTGTTTAATTTGTATTTTGTAGGGTTTATTAAACATAAGCCTGGGCTCAATTGCAGCTTCAGTTGACCCATTTCTGCTTCAAGGTTTACATCAGCCGTGCGCAATCGTACCATGGCCATTAACGCAACCTCCTTAACGTATAGGTCCAGAGGGGTCAGACCCGTAATTAAATCCATTGCCGCGGTTGATGTTGTTCTCATGGATCCTGTGATGTTTAAACAAGCCAGTCGCTTGTTTAAACATGCTCTCGGTCCCCATGCAATGGCTCCGTACGTTAACATAGGACTTATTATTGCAGTGTAGATCCGTCACTGCTCATAAGCCACATATGCTCTTTTTGCTCTACGCTGTAGATGAGAGTTCCATGTTAGCTTCCTGTCGAGGATAGTTCCAAGGTATTTCACCTCTTCAGAGAAGTTTAGTTTGCTTTTGAAGATTTCGGGAGGTTTTAAGCCCGATAAACTTCTTTTCCTAGTGAAAAAGAACATCTCAGTCATTTTTGTTGAGGTGATTAATCAGGGTATCCAGAACTGTGTTCCAGAGAAGGGGACATCCCCTCATCACAAGTCCTTTCACTGTGATGTCTTCTACATTGATACTTATTACTCTACTAGAGAGTATCTTGAGTATCCATTCTCCAACTACCAGGGGTACATTCCTGGAGTGTAGTTGCTGGGTAATTATTGGGAAGGTTGTTTTATCAAACGCTCCCTCGATATCTATGAATATACCCCTTGGTAGATTATTTGTTGTTCAATGATCTCTCGATTCTGCCAACCAAATGGTGAAGGGCCGCATCAGGAGACCTTCCCGGAGGTATATACATGCTGATTTGGATGAAGTGGGTAGTGAACTAGTAGTTTAACTTTTATGAAGTACTAGTTCACAACTTTTAGGATGTCAAAATACGGATTAACAGCTGGGTATCTCAAATTCCGAGATACTTAACTAATTTCAACTGAGATGACTGGACCAAAACTGGACTAAAAACAGTGTTCAGTCTACAATGCCCCATGTACGTGACAATATCGTAAACCATCAAAGAATCGCGTTTACAATACGTATCCCCATGATTTAAATGAGAAAAGCCACAGGGTCGTAAACGGCAAAAATAAAACCCCCAGAACGTTGACTTGAATAAGAGGAAACCTTTTCAATGCTCGCCGAGTTTTCTCGAAAAACAATTTCCTTTATCAATAGTGGAACCGATTCGTTCAGTTTAAATGTACATTGTCGATACGGCAATAAAAACCGGAGGAGGCATACGTCAATTATGAAAACAAAAACGCAGCGCTGTTTTACGAGCGAAGTTCGATTTTAACGACCGCAGAAGAAATGGCATTTGCATGCAGCGTCGAGCGAACCGTGATTCGAAAAAGTCAGGTACAGCCTATAAAGGGTTTCCTGTTAATAATCGTAATTTCTTTATTAACAAGTTCTGTCAGAAGTATAGTCGTAGCTTGGACGACGTGGCACGATTTCAATATCTGCACATAGAACTAGCTTAGTGCAAAAATAACAACTTGTCGAAACATTTGTTCCAGTATCGATACATCCGGTTCCTGATTATCATTTCCGAATAGTTACAAACTTGTTGTTATATGTTACCACAACTGTCTCAAACTGACAGCTTCATCTTCCTCTTTCATTTTTCCTCTGAGTCGATTCAGTAGATCTAGTAAAGTTATTGATCTACATTTATCCATCAACAGTGCATGGATGAACGAAGGAAATGTTCAAAAAATACGATCGCGGTGCTTCGAAACACGTCTATGACATCGTGACAGGTGATGAATCGTGTATTTACGCGTATGAGCCCGAAAGTAAACACCAGTCGACTGTATGGGTGTTTCAAGATGAACCAAATCCAACAAAAGTTGTTCGCTCACGAAGCACTTCCAAGCAAATAGTCGGCTGTTTTTTCGAAAAAACTGGACATGTCGCAACCGTATCACTAGAACCATTTGTTTGCCAGTTGTCTTCCAAGAAATCAGGAAAACCAACCGCCGAAGACGGATCACTCTTCGCCACGACAATGCGAGCTCCCACACATCGGCTCAAACAACTGCATTTTTGATCACCCAAAACATCGATTTGGTGAGTCATCCGCCGTATAGTCCGGACTTGGCACCGAATGACTTCTTTTCATTCCCGCACGTAAAAAACAAACTGTGAGCTCAACGTTTTTCGACACCAAAAGAAGCGTTTGCTGCATTCAGAATGCATGTTTTGGAGATACCTCAACCGGAGCGGCAAAAGTGCTTCGACAATTGATTCAAAAGCATGCAAAAGTGTATAGATCTTCATGGGGAATATTTCGAAAAACAATAAAGTGATTTTCAATGATTAATATTTGTTTTTGTTCTCTAATCCCGAAATATAAAAGGCAACCTTCGAACATAACTGCCTCGGATTCTCCTGCACACTCTCACAGACACCGGCGATGTTTTCGGCAGATCTTACGTTTCGTCAACGTACGGATGTTGACTGATCGTTTACTAAACCAGTGGAGCCGAATTTATCCGTCAAATTGCGAATAGTCATCTCGATAGGACGATTAGGGCGACAGTAAAATGAGCGAAGCGCGCGGTACGTTCCCCGAACAGAACATGCATTTTAATAAAACAATTTTATTATTTGCACATGTTGTTGAATGCGTTATCCGTTCATGGTGCTAAACCGATTGAATAAATGACAACTTATTTGACAGTTATCGTTTGTCGGAAGTTCTTGTTAGAAGACCCGTTGAAAAGAAAAATGTCACAGATACTCACCTTTGAACCAATGAATTGATGAGAAAATTGAAGGATACAGCTACGAAATTATACGTGTATTTCGGGGCCTACTGATACATCATTCACAAAATTTCAGTCTTTGTCACTGTTCTAATCAAATTGAATGAACGGAATATTAGAGTGGAAAAGAATACTCGACGTATTCGTGATGCATTCAGCCTCGTCAGGTAGGTTGACAAATACGAGTTTAGTCATTTATGTACTCTGTTCATATTTTCGAACATTGTACTGTCAAACGAATGTTCTTGCTGAAATTTCTTGTTATTCAGGTACCAAAATGTATTAGATTTCAGAATTGTTATTTTGTCCTTGAATCGATCATCAGAAATTCTCGGGCGCGTCAGATTAAGGTAGGGTGAGTTAATTACCTGCTAAAAAATGTATATTTCCGTAATCTGACAATTTAAGAGTGACGTAAAGAAAGGGGAGGGTAGCAAAGTTGTAAAAAAATAACGTCATTTCGACTTTCTCGGCCGTAACGTATTTTTTTTTTATTTTGAAGGAAATAATTCAAGGATAACGGAAAATATATAATCTGACGTTTTTCGCAAGCCGAAATAACAAAAATTCGTCGATAAAGTTTAATGCGTGCAGGTGTGTGATAAATATATTTCCCTCTCCCAGTTTCTATTCCTCTATTCTCTATTCACTTTTTCTCTATCTATTACTCTCTCACTCCGTCCCCACTCTGAATTCTGTTGCCATGACGCCTTCACATCTGATCACAGAGACTCGTTCGTGATGAAGATGACGATTAATTAATCAATTAATTGATGGATGTAGCCGTTACTACGTGGTAGGAAATCATAATGAAAAAAGAAATTAAACTTTCTATGTTTTTTATCACTTTTATTTGTAATTAACGTTACTGCAGTTTCGTCCTATAAGGCATTTTCAAACTTATACAATATATTATATTCTATAACATAGAAAGTTTCATTTCTCTTTTCTTCATTCATTAATCAATTGATTATAAAAAATTAAATTTTTTGAGCATTTTTTAAAAATTATTTTCTTGTAAATACAAGTATTCTACTTAAAAAAACATACACTTATTTATTTGCATGCTATTTCCTGAGCTTTTCAAAATGTTTTTGTCAGATTAAGCGAATCCCTCTAGATAATCGTCAGATTATGAGACAGCACGTCTAAAACATAAAGATGAACCATATATTTCTTAATCTGACGCGCTTAAGTATTTCAAAATGGCGCGATTTTTTTGCACATTATAATAATGGCCGCGAGAACGAAATCGTGAGATTATTGAATGGGAGTTTTTTTTGTTGCACTTAACACCCCCTTAGAAAATCTGACGCGCTCGATTACATTTTTTCTTTTCACTTTTACCCTTAAGTACAACCACCCACATCATGCAAACGATCAGATTAACATACCAACATTATTAAAAATACATAGGACATTGATGCTATCAATATCTGACGCGCTCGAGTATGTCCATGCAACAGTATTTCTTTACATATTTAAACATCTATAGCGGCTTATACTCGTATCGAATTTTGGAACTTCAAGAAAAAATTTAAATGAATCTGTTGAAAAATCTGTTAAAATCGTACAACTCTCAAAAGTCGAAACTTACGCGAGCTAAGACGAGGTCTTACCTTTCAACGTGTGATTCCTGACCTTCTCTAGACCATTCCTCAAAACATTCAGTATTCACAACCATTGAACCACTTTCCAGCTTGATTTTTTCAGTTTTCAGCTGAATAGATTCTCTTGAAACCATTTCAAACGTGCCATGTTCCGAAGAAAAGGAGCCACAGCAACCAGCAACAGTGTAGCCGATGTGAATTCCTTCTGCAAGGAATGAAAAACACCTATTCAAATAAATCGATGACATCGAACAAATGACACGACAATCAACAATCTTCGAATTCCCCCGGGAAATGTAAATCTGCATATTTTCCTCGTAAAAACTTAACGATTACGATCAATAATATGAGATTTACGAAAGTTCCAGTCGACTTCAATTAAACCATTCGTTTGTATTTATGTCTTTCGTTTTATGGATTCTTCGATAGTCACGAGTGGGAGTCTGGATAGATTTATTGCCGTTTACTGTTGTTTTCAGTTTCTTAATAATTATTACTGTTATTACAACGACAAAATGTCCGATACGGGTTTTGCATGTTTACCCCCAGGGGGCCAATGCCGTTTTCTCATGGGTTAAGATGGATAATTTCCTTCTCACATACCCTCTAGGTGATCGAGACATGATTTTTGTAGTAACCATAGCCTTTTAATTTCTTAAATCTTTATTTGATATGTGAGGATAATGGCCGATAATTGTTGAAAAGCTTTACGTATTCACGAGCCGCTTTATTGGGACATTTTCTCTAAACAGTTTACAAAAATGTATTCATAATGAACACGAGTGTTCTGAAACTAACCAATAGTAAAGAAAAAGTAATAAACAAACAAACGGATCAAAAATCATTAATGAAAACATTGGCTGGAGAGAAAACAAAACTACAAAGAAACAAGAAAAGAGTCAGAAGAATATGCAGACAGGAAAAAAAAGAAATGGAATATTTCCTCTTCTGAAAAAGTGGAAACAGCAGGGAAAGACGGAGATGAAGCTGGAAATCTAATAGAAAATGCAGAAAAAGTGAAAGGAACGAGACAAAGATACACTTTTGATAGTACAAGTGTACTTTTTTGAATGGTGTAGTCAAAGGACCGATAACGATTCTAGGATTGTTCCATAGCACATAAACAAAACCACCAAACGTTGAACCTGTGCTAGTATTTTTAGAAATTATCTTTAGGGTCCCCTTTTTCTTCCTGGAAATTCAACAGATATGTACCCAGTTCTTAATAATAACACAGAGAATGATCCCGCATACACTGTACAAGAATTATAGCCTCAACAAGTGTTTCTCCATGTTACTAACAAGTGTTATCATTCAAAAGATAGATTACGAGAAAACATGGGTTTTTTGGCAGTTATGCTCTGTGTATCATGTTCATTGGTCCAACTTGTATATTACTCAGAAGAAAAAACAATGAATTATTGCAAATAAGTAGGACTCCATGGTTTTATTCAGCCTAGTTGAACGGGAGTCGGTTGTTTAGCGTCGTTTTAGTCGATCAACCGCTATGTGAACGATATTGGTTCGATTTCCACTACTAATCGTCTGACCCGTACTATGAATCGTACGTTGGAAGGTAAGACCTCGTTAATCCTTAGTTTCTTAGAGGCAGCTGACTAGCATTAAAACCCCTTTTCCACATTCGATATCTTTTTAGCCTACTTTCTTTAGTATAAAAAACCTCCAGAGTAGACGCTTGCTGGCTTATACCTCGATCGGGCACATAACCTATCGACATCACCTTCTTCGTTTGTCAATGGAGCTACGTACTTCCGCAATCCACTAACAGACACACACTCTCTTCGGATTTTTTCAACTCGATTCAATGCCCATAAATCTCTCTAGCGAATCTCAAATGGCGTCCGACGTTGCTGTCCGTAATCGTAAAATTGCCCGCTAGAATCGCGGAATAGCACGCTCGTAGGGTCACAAATGGCATGGGACCTCGACGGCCCCTATATAAGGAAAGTGTGCTTCCAAACCGACCACTCCTAGGCATTCATAATTAATCTCTAGGAAACGATTCCGAAATAAAGATGTATGTACAGCTAGCTGTACAGGATGTCATGCGTGCAAAAATCATTCGGGGTGATTGTGTTTGTTCTGGAGGCGAACGTTTGCCGGGTTTTTCTTCTTCTTTTCGTCGTGTCATGGCCTCGGCAACCTGGGTCGCCGGCCATGTATTCTGGGTTTCAAGTATTCACACTACGACCTGATTCGGGGTGATTGTATTTGTTCTGGCTTACGCTTCCTATGTTTTTCTTCTTCTTTTCTAATACTTTCGGTCTCGACTACCAAGGTCCCCGGCCAAATATTCTGGGTCTCAAGTGTTCACACTACGAACGTTAGAGAGCAGTTCACTGTTATGTGCAGAATGGCACGCTCGTAGGGTTATAAATGGCAGGAACCTCAACGACCGCTGTATAAGGAAAGTTTGCTTCAAAAGAGACCACTCCTAAACATTCATAATTGATCCCTAGGACACGATTCAGAGGTGAAGATGAATGTACAGCTAGCTCTTTAGGATGTCGTACGTTTGTTCTGGTGGCGAACGTGTCACGGGGTTTTCTTCTTCTTTTCGTCGTGTCATGGCCTCGGCTCCAGGGTTTCCGGCCAAGTATTCTGGGTTTCGAGGCACACGTTTCACGGGTTTTTCTTCTTCTTTTCGTCGTATGGCGGCCTCGGTTACCAGGGTCACCGGCCATGTATTCTGGGCTTCAAGTATTCACACTATGACCGTCAGAAAGCACTTCACTGTTCTGTTATTGAATTGAATGAGCAGTATCCTATAATTTGTGTTTTTATACAGAAATAATCTTCCAAATGATCTTTGATGAAAATTGTGCTCATTCGTTGAAAAAATGGTGTATGCAACATTTACTTTTGACTTCGCCTCGAGCAGCAAACTTCTTGTTATACACAAATAACAATTAGATTAGATTCTTTGTTGTTTAATCCATTTTCTCATATGGAAATATCTGTTTTCACGTCGTATATCGGACAAAATTCTGACTTTTTCAATTCAAATAAAAACGTTAATAATATGCCTGAATCAAGCCCTTGTCTTTTCACAAGAGATCGTGCGTTGCTCTTTGATTACATCCTGAAAAACTTCACCAAACAAGCTCGGCCATTGAAACTTTCGAAATTACACTCAATCCGCACCATCCAATTTCATTTTTATGTTCCATAAATTTTATATTCGTGTTCCAGGCAATGGTAGCACATGTTCTGAAGCTTTTAATTACTTTATGATGCGATTGCGCTTCACACTCTCTCAAATTAATGCATACTCTATTAAAACTGATTTATTATCATCTAGTTTCAGTGAACCGGCACTCACGGCGAACATATACGAATTATTTTCGGGCTTTTTATGCAAAAAGAATAGAGACGAAAGGGTTTTTATTGGACGCGAACTATTTTTGAAAAGGTTTAAATCGAGTTTTGTTATTGAATACAGTTTTAATGCGATTATTTCGGGGCCTTTATACAGGAAAATCGTGTCGCTGGAAAATCGGCTGGGATTATTATCGAAGAGTCGCCAGATGGAATTTATGGAATATCCATGAAATAAAGTTGTGTGAATATAACGTTGACGGAAAATAATTTCGAGAAACGTAAAAGCCCGGAAGCTCAGCTTGATACACAATTTCCATCTTGCCCATTATCATATTCGTGAATACGCAAATCTAATTTCTGTTTCCGTTTCCTACAAATCATAGCAAAAAAAATCACTGCATACGGACACGAGAAAATGCTCGTTTGATAACACGACCTTGGATATACTTTTATCTAGAATCAGTCGCCACAGTTGGAAATACCTCAAGTGAGTGGTATCCATTGATATATTTATCGTATCTGTTCCATTGGATGAATAAATTATGATTTGGCAATGTTTTATCGAGATTGTTCCGAGTTATCTGCAGATTACGCTGGTAAACACTTGTGGTTATCGTCTTTTTTTCTCTCTAGTCGTGTTGACCAATTTTTTGAAGTGGCACGAGGTGGCAAATAGATGTTATGCAACTGTTATGGATTTGAATTTTCTTTCTGATATTGAGTTTTGGGAATTCTCTACTCTAAAATTAGTTTATATTGTTTTATCCATGGTTATGAAACGACGCAAGAAATCTGCTTTGTAGCAGATTTCTTGCATCGTTGCGCTAAACACTCAAAACTTTGTAAATTGTAGCCTATATGTTATTCTGATGTATACACTGTATTTATCTAAAGTTTCATCTAAATCGGTTCATTTGAAGGTGATTGACAATGTTTCATGATGAATTTCACTAGTTCGGACTTCCATTACAAGGAAAAACATCGTCTTTTGTGAAGAATTCCAGGCGTTTTGTCGAACTACCAGGGTCAATTGAGGTCACACAGGAAGATCAACTAATTAGTTTCGACGTGGAAAGCCTAACTTTTTATTTTTATTTTCTTTTTTCATTTCTTCATTTTCATTTATTTTTGTTCAATTGTTCTATTTTACTTGTATTTTATTTCACTATTATTTCATTAGTAGACAATGGAAGTCCGAACTAGTGAAATAAATCCGTTCAGTCGTTAAGGCGTGAAAGAGCCACAAACATACATTTATCTATCCTTACAGTCTTTCACATTTACATTAGTATGGATGGATAGATGGTTGGATAAATAGATTAGTATAGATGAATTATTCATTTAGGTCGCCCGCTGATATTTAATATACTATGAAGCTAGATGGCGTAGCAGATTTAGAGATGAATTTAGAGGGAATACGAACTCCATTATTGGCAACTGAACACTCCGATTGATACATGCATCCTTGCTAATCAGAGAAAATTGAACGTCACTCTCATCCATCAATTCGGATACAACACCAAACCGAATTACAATCTTGTGGCACCAGTCGACTCAATTGATTCCGTACAATTATTTTCTCATTCGTCACCACACATATGCGTCCTCCGAGAGCACGAATAACTCTATTATTACAATTTATTGCTTTATGATGGGTTCGGTTCGACTATTGTTCCCTGTGCATGTAAGATTATGTTGACAACCCTCTCCTGTTACAGATGAACACATTGCAATCACCCTTACACCAATATGTCACCGTATAGCATTAGTTTGGGGTGGGTACGTGACTGCAGATCCGGTCTGAGGTGAAAAAGAACGTACCTTTTCACATCATGAAAAATGATGAATAAAACAAAAAAAAAC